GAATGCTTTAGGAATAATAGAGAAGTGAGATTTTTGTCATGAAATAGAAGTCTACAGTGGTGGAAAGAAAAAGGTGTAAGGTGACATGAAAAAATGAGATCTCATGTGTGATAAAACAGGGCAAAGAAAGCCCAACCCCCTAAGCATATGTATACAAATGCAAACAGACTGGGAAACAAGTGAGAAGAACTAAATCTCCACATGCAGCCAATGAGCTGCAGTACCTTTAGAACAAGAGATGTGGTTGCACAGTTGGGCTGCTGCAGATCAACTCAGTGGAGATTGACTTGGGGATTTTATTGAACTGAGATCACAGCAAGCTGAAAATACAACTGGTAGAAAGAACGCCAACAGCATCTTCGGCTATATTAACAGGAACACACCCAGTAGATCCAGAGAAGTGATTTGTTAAATGACATACAGAATCCAGTTTTGGGTTCCACAAAATGGGAATAACAGGAACAAAGTGCATCAAGTTCAGCAGATGGTCATAAAGATGGGGGAGAGAACTGGAGCATATGTGGTATGAGAAGAGGTTAAGGCTTTTTTTTGCCTGCAGAGGAGACTTCAGAGGGACCTGAAGCTCTAAATGTCAGGCAGGCTTCCAGTTTCTACAAGAAAGTTGTTTATTACACAGAGCCAGGCTTTTCACATGGGTGCACTGTAGGAGAATGAGAGACACTGGGCATAGATTCAGCTGAGAGAAACTTGGTCTGACCTCATAGATGACAGGAGGGTGAACCAAAAACTTCCTGAAGTACTATCCTACTTGAGTTATCCCACAGTCCTGCCCCTGCTGCCTCCCAAAACTCAAATCCAATATTTGGAAATGTTTGGAGCCTTTGTTTGTTTGTTTGTTTGTTTGCGTGTTTGTTCGTTCTTTTTAGTACTAGTTGCTTCTTTCAGTATATTTCATATACAAATGAACCTTTATTTTTAAGATTCAAGTTTTGGCCTGGTACTCAGTAGCAGAAATTCCTTTTCATTAGCCTATATTGTCCTACAATCAACAGTTGTAGCCTACTGTCCTATAATAGCATCTCAGTGTGTACAATTTAAAATCAACATCATAATTTCTTCATGCTTGTCACATCCTGTGAAAATAAGAAAAGTTATATGGAAGCTGCTGGCTTTATTATTAATTTATGGTCACTGTACACCATCGCATCAGTCACACGAACTTTAGAAAGAATATTTGCTACAGTATTCTTATTAGTTTAGCGTTTAACCTATTCCCAGCTTCTAAACACTCATGAACACCCTTCTGAGGGACTGAAAAATTCAAGGTTAATGACTCAAACAATCGGCCTTTTGCAAAAGCAGCAGATGCTTTGCTGAGACCAGGTTTATGCCCCCCCCAGCAAAGGGGAGGAGGAGATTTTTTGGGGTATGCAGTGGCAAAACCTCCAATCTGCATAAGAACAGCCTGGGTGCAGAGGGGATGTGCACCCACTGCAAGAGGATGACCATGGCAAACCAACCTTGGTTTAGCAACAAGATGGGTTTTGAGCCAGATAAGGGAAAAGGCCAGTAAGAAGGCAGATTCTGTGAGGTGGGATAATGCTTTTTATCATGCCTTCCAATAAAGCTCAGGTATAAAACTCTCCCCAGAAGGATGTATCGGGACATTCACATGTAGGCCTGAGGGTTTTCATCCTTTCTGATGGGGAATAACTGCCTCAACTACAGTGTGTGAGAGGCAGCTGTCATGTCTTAGAAGGGGCCATAAACCATCAAGGACCCTCAAGGCACCCCCAGACTCATTTCTGAGGCCTTCCACCAGAGGACTGCATGCACGCACAGTGTTATATCAGACAGCGTAAAACTCCCGCCAGGGGAGGTACCTGGCCATTCTCACCTGAACCTAAACCTGTATTAACCCACTGAAATTTTGGGTTCATGGGCCCCCAGCCCCAATGGATCAAGACTGTGACCATCACCTTTACCAACAGGCATCGAAATTTGTCCACAGGTGGTGATATCTTCCCTCTCTACTATCTAATTTTATCCTTTCTTTCTCTTATATTTTCTTACGTGATATTTTTATACTTTATATTGCTGTATTTCTACAGATGATAACCAAAATGGCTACATAACTCCTTTCCATTGCAACTAAATTGTTTCAAAATATACCTGCCATATATATATATATATATATATATATATATATATATATATTTATACAGTGGTCATTCAGTGTCGTTTCACCCTAATCCACCCCAAGGCATCTATTAGCAAGAACCTCAGTTACCCCACCTCATGAGGTGGGTCATAACAACTTTAAGAACAACCAACCAACCAATCAAACGTGAATAGGAGCTGGGGTAGACTGTATCCTGCAGCTTTGTGACACTCATGAAAGGATGTCAGTCAAGTATTTATACCCAAAGTCATCTCCTCATAACTTTCATGAGTGTTTGTTGACTTTATGATTTCTGCCTAACTTGACTGCAGTTTCATTATTTGCAGTGGTTTCAGCATCTGGTGTTCATCCAAGTTTTCCCATCCAGTGGGAAAACTGACAGAATTACACTCTCTGTCTGAGAGAATATCAAAACTATTTTGGCTGGAGACCAACTACAAGACTCACCTATATCTATAGAGTCACAAATAGTTAAAGAATAATTTAAATTGTAAATTCATTGTGAGAAGTCTGTCATGAGGTCATGAGGTTTGTGTCTGGTCCAACCTTCCCTCTTAAAGCCAGGCCAGTAGTGTTGTTCAGAGACTTAAGCAGTTGAATTTTGAATATATTGAGGAAATGAGATCTCCTGACCTTGCTGGCAACCTGTTGCAGTGCTTCGCTGCTGCAACTGTAGAAAAAGCATACCTAACATCAAATCAGAATGCCATGTCCTCCAATTTGTGTCCATTACCTTTTTTATTTCTACTGTGCACATTTGAGAATTATCTGGTTCCATCTTCTCTATACCAACCCACTAGGCAGCTGCAGACAGCAATAATATTTCCCTTTTCATCTTTAGAAAAGTCTGTCTTTACTCATTACAGTGTTCTGAAACTGTTCTGAACCTTCCATTCCTCTCTATCAGTTGCCAGAGCGGTTGGTATTCACTCTGGTAGAAGCAGTCTCAATCCCTTGACCAGAACACAAGACCTTAATTCCTTCTCCTAGTTTCACATATTTTTTTGCGGTAGAGATGTTTTTGACATCTTCACTGATATAGGAATTCCTGATTCCATCTGACTTTATGTTTTTTGCACCTGTAATGTCTCTTTTTACAACAGATTTTTACCCATCTCATGTTGTTTCTGGGTGTCACTGAGGAATTTCCACCTCATCCAGGAACATGCTCATTTAGTGCCCACAAGTCCTTTAGATCTAATTTAAGTAGGTGCCTCATTTTTTTCTTAGCCTGCAGTTTACTAACACAGATGGTCAGTCTCTGCCATATGTTGTTTCCTCAGGATTTTTCTTACAGTGGGTTGCGCTCTTATAAAGTGCTCTGTGTGAACAAGGGCTTTTAAATAATTGTCCAATAGGACCCCATCAAGATCAATTCTTAAATCTCAAACTGTTTGTTCTTCTCACATACTAACCATTCAAGAAGATATATGTCTTCTGCTGGATGTCTGGTAAACAAATTCACCTGATGAAATGCAAGATTTCTTATCCCTATTTGTAACCCAGGGTTTTGTATTCTGGCCTTTATGTAAACTTTTGACTCCCAGTAAGTCCTGGAACCACATTATTTGAAGGCAGATTAAAAACTGAGGCACTTTCATTCCAATTCTTTAGACCCAATCAATCTTGATGAATGTGGCATCTCAGTAAACTTCAGATACCTGTGGCAGAGATACATAGATCTACACTTGTACTGGCACTTCAGGGGTGCAATTCCTATTATCCTGAGCTGCAAGTGAGATAAATCAGACTATAGACACCTCTTTCTTTCCACCACTTAAGAAGGGGGTCTGGGAGGTCAGCCTTGAGTGGGCTATATCTAGGACAGATGTCTAAAATTAAACAAGAATCTCCTCACTTTTAAATTCTTCATTACCTCAAGGGTCCTTGTGTCTAGAAATGCCTAACAATGTCAATTTTTTTGAACAATAAAAGTAACAGCTGATTTCAGCACAAAACCCCATAAACTTAAAATAGTGCAACTGCAGGTCACATTGAAAGAACATTATGTGCCCTTTGGGCATGTGAGCTTAAAAAATTAATTAAAGGAGCTGTAGCTGATTATCTTTCTCCTATGACCTACAACTAAATCCGCAGGCCTAGTGCTGTCCTCATTTATAAAAGTTAGTATTATTACAGAATCTACATAGATTAAATACAGTTGAGTGAGGCTCACAGAAAACACCTCTTACTGAACTTATAATATTTCTATTTGTTATCATAATATTTTTATATACAACAGATATCCACAGATGTGACAGCTAAACAGAGACAGACAAATGAAATAGAAAACTTCGAATTAAATAATTTATTTCCCCAGAGGAAAAAAAAAATACTGCTTCTGAAATACCAGTGGAGAAACATTGTTCTCAAGATGAGAAAAAACCATCAAATAAGAGAAATGTGTGACCTGTTTAAAAGGTCATCTAATCCTTCTTTTCCTCTAGGCAGGATAAACTAAAGCTACATTGGTTTTTTACAGATGTTTCATTAATCTCTTCTTTAAAGCTTGCAAAGACAGGCATTTGAAAATTTCTTTGGCAATTTATCCTTTGTGCTTAACTATTCTTAGCAGAAAATTCTGTCCCTGTAAATCTCCTTTGCAGTAATTTTAGCACATTGTCCTACTCGAACAAAATGTTTAATTCTATCTTCTTGGCAGTATGTTTTAGGAATTTGAAAACCATTAAGATATATCTTTCTTCTGCTTTCTAGATTAAAACACATCTGTTCTTTAAAAATTTTTTGATGGGTCACAGGTGTTATTTTACCTTTGTCACTCTCATTGCTATTTACTGTGGCTCCTTGAACAGTTCACATTTTGGAAATGAAGTTGCATGAAAAATTTCTGCTGATATCTAGAACATGCAAAATGGAGCAGAAGGATTATTCAGTTCATTTTAACATGTAATCCACTTGTTTTTACAACAAAGCAATAAAATAATAGAAATCAAGGAAATCAGAGAATTGTTAGGGTTGGAAGGGACCATCTTGTTCCAATCCCTGACATGGCCAGGGACACCCCAACCTGGCCTTCCAGGGATGGGGTAGCCACAAAAAATGTTGATTCATATTTAGCAGTGATGTCCTACGATTCCTGATCCTTTTCTGATTAAATTACCCAGTTATTCTACATTTGAGTTTTGTGGAATTATGAAGGGCTTGGCTTTTTCTGAGGTACAGACACAAGTAAAACTGAGACCACAGTAAATGCCCATTTGTTTGAAGGAGTAGAGTTCTGGTGAGGAGCTAGAAAATTTTGAACAAAGTCATTGTTTGACTTCCCAGTTAAGGTATAGTCACTCACACAATAATAAAACCCCAGTGCTACAACAGAAAATAGATGGAGCTCCAACAGGTACTGCAGGAACTGTCTTCTTCTCCCCTGTGGTCAACTACCTCCCTGAGTCAGGTTTCTTGAAGTCTGAGTAATTGAATTACAGATACAGCAAAAAAGTTAATGTCCCTGCAAGATGATAGTCATATATTTCCTTGCCCTCAGAATTCCGTTCATGTTTGGAGACTCTGTTGATGAATGAGGTATATAAGTGATCTGCTGTTGAAAGTTACATGAGCAATGGGACTTGTAGCAGCAAGAGCAGTTTGGTTCCATACCTCCAGAGCAGGTATTTCCTTTGTAGGTATTCTTCAAACAAGGCATTTTGACAGGACAAAATGCAAGTGGTCATGACCTCTTTGAGTACTGATGGCACAAGAAAGGGTGGGGGAGGGTTTGGGAAACAGAATTTAAGCCCTTAGATGTAAAACTGAAGATCAGGACATCCTTTCATTAGCTTTATTTATATTCTGGTTCAGCCCCCAGGATGAGATAAAAAGGCAGAGCAAGGCCTCAGCATGAACTGGGAAAATGTGATGGGGAGAGGAGCATAGAATGACTAGGAGTGAGAGAATTTTTGGAATATATGGAATTTAGACAATTGACATGAACAATGACCGTGTTTATGGTCATGATGATTAATTATGATATATGGCAGAGTGGACAAGGAAACTCAATGATCAGGAGCAGTCAAAAAAGTCAGAAAAATGTCTCAAAAGAAGGTATTTGCATAAGACATGCAAAAGAAGAAAAGAAGTGAAAAACCCAGGAAGCATCTGTATGCTTGTCTGTGAATCCAAATTGTTTATCTATTTTGAATGCTGCATGCAGCTGTGGGCTACCCATCTTAAAAAAAACAAAAACAAAAACAAAAAACAAGCAGTAAGCCAAAAATTATAAACAAGAATAATCTGGACTTCTCGCAAAGAGTGAGTGAATAGTTTACAGGGTTCTCCAATTTGGAAAACAGGCAACTGCATGGAATGTATGACGGGCATGAATGATTGGGCTTGAATGATTTGAATACGATTATTTTGTGTCTCTCACGCTAAAAGAAGTAGGAGAATATTACCTGACATCAGCTTTAAAGTAAACGTAAGGCAGTCTTTTTTTATATATTTCCTCAGGGAAATAAGGATTTGAAAGGTTTGTGTGAAAAAATGATAGTTTTTAAAAAAATGCAGAGACAGAGTCTGTTTCAAACTGTGAAGCAGAATGCCAGAACCTGGAAGACTGCTCTATTTTTTAAGCACGTACTCCAGGATCCTGTTGTGGATCAGATATTGAACTAGATAAGCCCTTATTGGGTTTGCCATTTGCATATCCTGTTAGAACTTCCAAAAAGCATGTCTGAGGAACACTCTGAGCCAGGCTCTAACTCTGTTTTCCATTGGTTTTTACTCCTCTCTCTCCCACATATCCCTGCTTCCCCATCTCTTTTTTCCTGTAAGTTCCATCAGTTCTAGCACTAGCAGACTATTCTGGTGAGTTACTGCAGGTCCCCAAATTTTGATTTATATCGGGAATCACTGTATTATACAGTGACAGAGTCCCTAGTAGGGCTTTCCCCATACTGTTCTAATGTAAAAAATGACATCTCATATTCCCTAAATCCAGAAGAGTAGAAGTTCCATGGATGAATGTGTGTCAGTGGTAGTAGCTTTATTCTATCCACGGCAAGCAGCAGAAATCATTGACATTTGAAACAAAAACTTTTTTTTCAAGTCAAAACCAGAGAAAAAAACTGAACAAAATCAATTTTCCTCCTCTGTCTTTAGCTTTTCCCTAATACCTGAGGCAACAATGGCAAAAAATAGCTCAGGGAAGAAGGTTCGAATGTAAACTGCTGCTCTGGGGATAGGGTTGGCCATAAGCACCTCCCGCTTCTTCCTGCTCACTGTGCGCAAGACTTCCTCTGCTACCTCCACTGGGTGTACACCATATGCCACCTTCCTGAAAAAGACTGTAAATCAGAGAGGAGTGAGAGCTACAGACAGGCAGACAAACAAACAGATACACTCTGAGGGAATGGTGGTGAAGATACACAACTAGTGCATCAGTCAAATCAGTTAAATTCCTACATACTTCTAAGCCCTTATCCATTCTATTCTCTTTCTCAGTATGTCCCTAAGATTTTTTTACAACTTTGAGGTAAAATCTTTACAGTCCCTAAGAGAAGGAACAACCTGAGTGCACTGGAACCTTTGGACCTTTCATGCTCTCCTCCCTCTCTATTCTTGATGCCCTGGTGTATTTATTTTCTCACATAATGCTGTCTCTTTCCATGTTCCTTCTCTTTTCACCAGGCTCATCTTACCTCTCCAATATCTCTTTTCTTTTGCTATCCATACCACTCATCCTTTCTGCCATTTCCATTATTTTTCCTATGCTCCTATCTTCACCCTGAAAAAGCTTCCATCCTGCTACATAGGCCCCATCTTCATCCATCAAAACTTACATTTCCAAATAGATGCCTCCCAGTTGCCAGGTGTTGGTTGGCGATGGTACGAACAGATGAAAGTTGGATTCACAGTGCTGACAGAAATATCAAATTCTTCCATTTCAGCTCTAAGACAATCAAAAAAACCTACAGCAGCATGCTTGGAGGCAGCATCTAAAAGAAAAAAGCCCACATATGCATGTTTAGAGATATGATTGCATGGATGTAGATGTATGATAGTGCTCCATAAGGCACCAATGTTTGGGAAAATGAGCATGGAATAATTAACCAAAAGGCAAAAGAACAGTGAATTATTTCACCCAGTGAAATTATAATATGACATATTCAAAACAAGCAATAAGAAACTATTTTTATAGGACAACTGTGCATGAGGTATGGAGGCAGTCTCCTGGACATGTCAAAAAGCATTTCCCAATTGGAAACAGTCCTGGGTTTGGGAATGACCTAGGTTAGAGAATAACACTTCTATTATCTCTACAGTTCAAAAATGTCTTTGGTGGATGGAGTTGTCCCTGAGATGAGTCCCCACACCCTCTGTTTCTGCAGTTTGTAACATCCCTAAAATGCAGTGAAATACATGTGCATTGCTGGAATGCAGGAGTACTAATGTTTTGTACACTAATTGGGACTTTGCCCTGCAGCAGCAATCCGAGCTACTTTTAACATTAATGTGAAAGTAACTGAATGTCAAGACTTTTTTAATCTGCTTTTAGTGTCTTTTTATTGAGGATGGTATCAAAGCAAGATGATAATATGTGAACCTTGACCAAAAAATGGAACTGTGTGTTCAGTGCAGCAGAGCTTTGACTTTTATTTGACTCAGTTTACAGTGAAAATCAACCTGTGCGTAATATAATCTAAACAATGGCACAGGGGGTCTGGGAATGGAGAGATGTTTCTCCATTCATTTATCTTGACATTCTTTCTTCTGGCAGCTTCATTTCATGCCACATAAATATTAGTAGGGGCATCTCTCTGTTGGTTCTTCTGCTTCTCATGGTTTTATACACAAAGAGTGTATCTTGACACAATTATCTATATCCTAGATGGAAACCATTCCAGATGTCACATCAATGCATTGTTTCTTTTTTGAGCCTTTTTGGTAGTCCTTATACTTCTTTAGAATGGGACACCAAAATTGTACACATGTTCAAGATGTGGGCATTGCATAGATTTATGCATAAATGTACAAAGACATAAAGATAGGTTTTATTTTATTTTCTCTACTGCTTTCCTTACAGTTTCTGTCACTGTAATTTGCTTCCATGGAACCAAACATCACAATCCTGAGGTCTTGCAGACCTTTTAATTCAGAGTCCATTGTTCGCTCTGACCTCCTGTCAAGCTAAGAATTTCTATTTACATCCATCCCAAGTTTAAAATGCCTTTTTATATCTATCCTATATTTTCTGTCCACTAACTTTGTATTTCAGTCATGCAAAGACCTTTCATCATAATTCAGGACAGCCTAGTTTCCTTAGAGCTTTGGATGAAAGACGTTCTTGAAAAATTTCTAGAAAGTCAAGCAGAATACAATTACTACATCTCCTTTTAAAGTCCCACACATAAATCCATTAGAGGTATGAGGTTTCCTTTGCAAAGTAGAAGTTTTTATCTACCCATCTTTTATATTTACACACTATACTTCATTATGGCTTCTACCAATATGCCCAAGTATAGATGTAGATATATATTCTATCTATACAATATATATTTTTACACATATATTATATATATTAAAAAATTGCTGTCACATTTGATATCCTCTTATCCTCAAGTACCTTAGGCAGCACCTTCAAAGGTACTATTTTAACTATTTCTTGCTGAGTTCCACTCCTTTGAAAAAATTTCAGCCAAATACTGTATTAATAGTCTACTGAATTAGGGTGCACTTTTAATAACCTATTATCAGTGTCATGGACTACTCACAACCTATGCATTAGAATGGTTTTGCTATGTATAACTTACAGGCTGCACGAAATGGTATTCCTATTTTCCCTTGAATGCTATTAATTAGAACAATTTGGCCAGTTCTTCTTGAGATCATGTTGGGAAGAATGGCTGCAAAAACAGAAATGCGAGAAAGAACCACATAAGTAAAAGAGTTTAATGTATTTAGTGAAAAGGAGTGATGGTTGAATTGTAGATCTCACAACTACCTTTGGTTAATGTTATAGGTCCAAAATAGTTGGCATCCATTATCTTTTTATCAAGTTCCAATGAAATGCTCTGCACTGCTCCTTTCACCTTCATACTTGCATTGTTGATTAGTATATCCACACAGCCATAGCAATTCAGGATTTCCTTAGCTACATCTCGTATGCAGTTTATGTCTGAGATATCCAGAAGTATGAGCTTTGGCGCATATGTCTAATAAAGAAAAGACTCATAGCAATGATAATTGTTATCTAAAAAAATTATTTCTGTTTACTTGTCTTGTAAATTAATTTATCTTGACATTTGAATAAAGTGTTTTTATTATTCTCACATAAACTTTCAGGGTTTTTTTTTAACCTACTCTAGGAAGAAGGTAGTTCAGCAACGAGAGCTGGCACTGTTCAGCCTGGAGAAAGCTCTGGGTAGCCCTTCAAGCCGCTTTCAGTGCCTAATGGAGCTCCAAGAGAGATCTGGAGAGGGACTTTGGACAAGGGCCTGGAGTGACAGGACAAGGGGAAATGGTTTTCCACTCACAGGGGGCAGGATTAGGTGGGATACTAGGAAGAAATTCCTCCCTGTGAGGGTGGCGAGGCCCTGGCGCAGGTTGCCCAGAGAAGCTGTGGCTGTCCCATCCCTGGAAAGTGTTCTAGCTGGGATTTGTTCCAAAGAGGTGGAGAAACTAAAAATTATTTTGATCTTTAGACCCATCTCCCAGTCCTTGAGTACACTAATTACAGGAAAAATGCATGACACTTCCTGTACAAATGAAGCATTTGGATCCCTTTCACTCAAATTATCAGGCTAATTTCTCTGCTGAAGATTTCTAGCTGGGTGGCTTATTCAGAATGCAGGTGCACTCAGATGATTTACAGGAACTGCCTTGGATTAGCTCAAGAGAGCAGGATTTTGACATTGTGGTCTGAACATCTTCAGAGGTGTTTCTTTCTCTCTCTCTCTGACAGAGAGTTATTTTTCCTGGACTCTGTTTGGTGTATTACCTGGCAAACCAAAGTCACCATTAACAGTGAATCATGTTTCTTGTACCTTGTTTTACTGGGTCTAAAAGCACATTGTATACCTGAACAAGGTGTTTACCTCAGGCTATGAATACATACCATACTGGGGTCTGTCACACTAATTAAGGCATCATACAAGGCTTCTAACTTTTCCCATGTCCTGCCACACAACACAAGCCTTGCTCCTCCTGTGTGAAACACACGAGAACATTCTAGGAGAGAAATACATTTAAAAGAAATAATTACAATAATGACAATTTGATTTTGCTTATTTTGCTTGAAACGGGATGCCATTTTTGCTAATGACATTGAATCCATGCTTTAAAATTAATTAATTTTGAGAGAATATATATGTATTAAAAAAAAAGCATTGAAATTTAATAGTGAGTAATAAATCCTAATTTAATGTAATGTTATTATGCACAAATAATGATATAGCACAACGGCACTGTTTAGTAATGGGATTTAATAACAAAGTAATTGAGAAAAGAACAATATATCAGTTAATGAATAATGGGTTTGAGTTAGAAAAATTTTTCTGAATATATTTCACAGACACTTTTCCTACAAATAAAACTGCATACAAAAATAAACACCCAAGGTCGTTACAATACAAACTGCATCTTTTGCAAACCCTCATGTCTGATGCACTATAAAGAAACCAACAAACCTCAGTAAACAGTAACACTAGCTCTGTGTTACCCTCATGAAACTCTTGGCAACACGGAACTCATCTACAACTTTGATAAATAGCAATATAGATAAACTCACTGCCCCTCACTGGTGCACAGGTGGGGCACCCATGAGAGAGCCCTTTCTCCTACAGACTCTTTCCTCCAGATGTAACCTACCCCAAGAGCTTTATCTCCTGAGTACTAAACCTTCCCAGTAATCAGCAGAGCCATCAGGGATCAGCTTGTTCAGCTACATTCCCCACAGCCTTCCTGAGAAGAGAACAGGAAAGTTTCTGGGAATGCTGGGCTGGCATGGCATTTTCTTCATTCTGAGCTGGGGATTTACCCCAATTTAAGCTAGGTCTCTGGGGAAGATTCTTCTCCCTTTTTCATACAAGTGAACTACGACTGTGCTCTTCTGAAAGTGGGGACTCACATAGCAGAAGGAACTGGCAGTCAGTGTTATCCATCATCCCCTCTCAGCACAAGACTGCAGCCAACTCATTAGTGCAGGTCTTCGTGGGTGTGTGTGACCAATTCAAGCCAAATTATAAAATACAAGGCTGGACCACCTTGACAACTTCTGTCTGGTCTATTTTCTTCTCTAGGTCATGTTGAGGGAGAATATATTCCTCATTATCCTCTCAGTTTGACCAAAGACAGGCATTTAAGAATATGGAGTACAGATACCTCATGGGAATCTTTATGGAATTCACTGTTAGTTGTATCCCTCTAGCAGTTGTAGGCTGCTACAGTGATACAGCTGCACTGAAACAGTCCAGGAACCCATCAAGGCTGTCCTCCTCACCAGGAAAAGTACATATTTGCCTGCCTTTTATTTCTCAGAATAGATAATGTCCTGCAGATAGGCCTGAGGATACAACTGATGATGCGTCCAAGGCGCCCCAAACCAGAGGTCTGCTTTGCATGCAGCCAGAGAGTTAGCTGATAATGGATTATATGTACTTTTATGATTGAAAATCAAGAGTTATTTTTCCTGATTAAGTCTTCCAAAAAGTTCTCAGCCTTGGAGCTCTCATGTTTGGTTTCTAAATGAAATCTATATGCAAGTTACGTAGTCAGCATTGGAAGAAAATGAATATGGTCTTACAATGCCTTTCAGCCTATTTGTTTTGTCTCAGCTCTTATGGTCTTTGTTGACAATAGAAGAACCCCAGTGCTATGGTTTGCTGTCCTCCAAGAAGCATTTTCTTCATATTTCAATTTCCACAGGAAATCTAGTTATGTTCATCTACCAATTTAAGATTTCTTAAATGCTCATGTTAGACTAAATATGGATCAATCTTGTATTTTTGCAAACCTGTGCAGCTGGAGGCTTTTATTTAAGCAATCTTTTTCATTATTTACAACAGTAATTTTATGAATGTCTTTCATTTTTTTTCTTTTCTAGTGGAGAAAAAATTTTTATTTAAAGCCCAAAAGATTATTTGCCAGTACAACCATACCATTATTTTCCCTGTAAAGAGCAGTTGGGTTGATCTTATGGAAGAAAATGCAAAAAAGAGTACTGTGTCAACAGCAATAAAGGTGAAAAAGGGAAACCAATGATGTCCTCCTCTAGAAGCTTCCTGGACTTTTCTGAGTTATAGCACTCAGAAGAAACAGGAACTAAGTTTCAATAATAACCATAAACCATTGAAAACATCTTCAATCATCATAGTTTTCTTTTTTAACTTCGCTGAATGCTGTCTTTAGTCCAGAAATTCTGGTATGTAGGAAAAATAATTTGGTTGTTTCTTAAGAGCTCACATACAGAGCTACTGGCCACACAGCCAGTATTTGAAAGCCCTGGACAAATGACCATCACATATGTATGAGTGGAGTGCACAGTAAATTTTGCATTATTCGTTCAAGCCTGCAAATAACTTCTTGATGTCACCCTATGGGATACTGGTTGTAGATATATTTGGGATAATAAAATAAAAGTGCTGTGAGTTACCTCCTTTTTCATCTCTATGAAAAGGAGGGTGGGGGCACCACACACACAAACAGTTGCTTTTCCAGCCTCAAGAGACAGGCAACAGCTAGTCACAGGGGAAAAAAAAGAAAAAGGAAAAAAAAGAAGAAAAAAGGAAAAAAATTAAAAAAAAAAAAAAAGAAAAAAGAAAAAAGAGGAAGGAAGGTTAATATGGAAACTGAAGTTAGGAAAACTGTCACCAAGGATCATGCAGTGCTGGAGCAAGACAGCTGAAGAAATGTTCAATAAATGTTCTTTATTCTTGGAGGGTTCCAAGATTTGACTTGAAGCCACACCCAAACAGACCCAGCACTGGTGATATTTCTGCTCCAAGGGAGATTTTTATCTAGAAACCCAGACACCCTATAATTCTACAACACACCCAATCTCAGCAGGAGTTCTCTGAATCATGCCTCTCCAACAAAAATATTGAAATATAAATGTCCTGGTTCTAGTCAGGGTGGGGGTAACTTTTGCAGCAGCCAGGAGATGTACGGTAGGACCCCAGGGTTGTTCAATCCCACTCCAGCCCTGCACAGGGTAGTCGCATTTTTCTGGTTTGCTGGGTGAGCAGTCAGGTGGCGTCGGTTCCACACAGTGAGTGATTGGTGTGAATCATTTGCCTACCTTGTACCCTCTGTCATTGGTATTGTTGATGTTCATTTTCTTATCTCATTGCTGTTTCCAGTAAATTGTTCTTATTTCAACCCACAATCTCTGCCTTTTGTGTCTCTAATTCTCCTCTCCATCCCACCACGGGGGGATGGGGGGAGTCAGTGAACAGTGCGTGGTGTTTCAGTGAACACCAAGTTGGGGAATACCATTTCTAAACCACGACAATAACCAACCTGAGAAAATGCACAGTAATATTATCTTCAACTGAACCTGAAATGTGTCAGGTAAAGGGAATGACTGGGTGGGATGAGGAGGCCAGAATTATTTCATACCTTGTCCTAAAAGCCTCTGTTGCAGATCTCTGCTCTGTTCTGCTAAGGATTAATTCTGCAGGAGCATTCCTTTTCCCCATCTGTTCTCTCTTTGGGAGTGCAGAGGTTTTAACAGACAGCAAGTCTTCATTAAAAACACCAAAATATAGCCTCGAGCTATGTTTGCCTTATCAGGCACTTGAACCTACTGCCCCTCTACATAAGCAACATATGACTCAGTACCTTTAATCAACAGCACCATGTAGGCAGGAAATAGGAGTCAATAAGTATATCATAGACCCATATGGGTTGGAAAGGATCTTAATGGGCAGGGACACCTTCCACTAAACCAGGTTGCTCCAAGCCCCATCCAACCTGGCCTTGGCACTTCCAGTGAGGGGGTAAGCCACAGCTTCTCTGGGCAACATGCGCCAAGGCCTCACCACCCTCACAGGGAGGAATTTCTTCCCAATATCCTATCTAATCCTGCCCTCTGTCAGTGGAAAGCCATTTCCCCTTGTCCTGTCACTCCAGGCCCTTGTCCAAAGTCTTTCTCCAGGTCTCTTGGAGTCCCATTAGGCACTGGAAGGGACTCCAAGGTCTTGCCAGACCTTATCTTCAGGTCACCCAGGCAATGAGCCATTTAAATAGAAAAAACTATCTCATTCCCTTTCCTTCTGTCCTCTGAATTCACCATTACACATAACTAGGCTGCCCAGTTGGAAGTACTGGACGATGTCAATGGAAGAGTAGTAACATGGGTGATAGAGGGGGGCAGAGATACAAACAGCGACAGAGGGGTGAGCACTGTCGTTTACAGGGAGCAAGAAATGTTGAAATCTTTAAGGGTTGGAAAGAAATATGCGAAAAGTAAGATGACGCCTGTTTATATGATTTGCAACTACCTTGTTGTGACAACCTATGTAATAAGATCCCATAGCAGCAACATGCTAAAAATAGCACTCAGTGTGCTTATAAAACCTCTTGTCCTATTGAATTAAATAAATACAAAGCTCTGCAGTTCCTAGAAGTTTATCAACAGTTCCTGTGGCTGAGCCTAAAAATATAAATTTAAAAATCATAGTATTTTTTCATAAATATATTTCCTAATTTCTCCTTCATCCAGTCAAGGAGAAGGTATCCATATACAAGGTAATGTATGCACGTTTTATCACCCAGGGTGGTTCTCTGGCTATTTCTGTTCTCTGAGAAGAAATGAGACAACTCACCCTTGCCTAGTCCAGAAATGGCATCCGTAATCACCACCACCTTGTTTTGCACCGCTGACTTGGACAATAGCCACCTGACTGACTGGTAAATATAAAAAATTCCACTGATCCCTAAGAGAAGCAATGGTAGAGCAAGTACAGCAAGAATACCCATCTCTGTGGGAAACAAAAGACCATATGAGAGTACAGTAATCATATTACATATTCATTATTTTTCAAATATTCTTATCTAAACCCCCAATGTCTTCATATATAGAAATTCCAGTGATCAGAAAACCAAAGGCTTGAAGCAGTATAGACAGGGTAATATTGTTTCTTTTTCTGTTTTTCTCATCTTTGTATGGTCTAGGCAAATCTGGATTCCTCTTATTCAAAATTACTATATGTTGGTAAAACCATAATAGAATGTAGATATATATCTATGTATATATGTACATATATGTACATTCTATTAGGCTTTAAGGCAAAACATAGGCTAAAATATAACATTGAACTTTTAATTACAAACTTTTAATTATATTGCAATTATTAGAAAACAGAGAAAAAGCTTTTAATCCAAATTTCAGATAAAACTCACAATAGATGTCTTTGCTATTCTAAAAGATACAGAAAATATAATCACTTACTATGGCTATGAAGACTCCAGATACAGATAAAGCATTCTACTGTATTTTTGTAAATCTTTGTGTTACAGGTTTAATTAAGATCCTTTAGCAATTTCATAGAGCATTGATTTGTTGAGGCTGCTAGCCCTGAATGAGAATGGCTATATACAGCCCCGTGACAGAGGCACTGCCAGAGTAAATATAGCATCCACAGTGTGATCCACATGCCTGACCTATCTAGCCCAACAGTTTGGGCAGTCATATTAAAACTCTTCTTACAGTATCAATTCAACTGGACAAAGAACAACCTCTCCTTCTGCCTTGCTTTTCATTGTTCATAATAATGTTTTAATTTCTTGTGATTTGCCTTCAATTAACTTTAGACATCAAAACATTTGTGTAAACTCCATAACAATAGGTCTTCAAAACCAAGGAAAAGGTACCATAAAGAAGTTGTCCCTTGCAATAACCATAGTTCAGCAATATGAATGATTTATGAATGTGTCAGGAAAAGGTCTCTGGAGCAAGCTGACTTCGGAGTCAGTGCATCATACAGAGCTGCTGCAGGCAGATGAATGCTGGAAAGCAGATGAGACTGGCATCCTGTGCTGTCAGGGGCTACAGGCTGCTTTCCACTCTTGGTATCTGCTAGACAGATCTGCCTCTTTCCCAGCAGTTTCAGGACCATATCAACTTTAGGTAGGTGATCTAACTCTTGCATTTCCTGCAGAGAGACATACAGAATGGTTCATAGAATACAGAATGGTTTGGATTGGAAGGGAACTTAAAGCGCTTCTCGTTCCACTCCCCTGCCATGGGCAAGGACACCTTCCACTAGACCAGGTTGCTCCAAATCCCATCCAAGCCCCATACACGTTCAAGACTCCAAGCCTTGAACACTTCTAGGGATGGGGCAGCCACAACCTCTCAGGGGCAACCTGAGTAAAGAACTTGCTCCTAACACCTAATCAAATCTCTCCTCTTTTAGTTTAAAACTGAACCCCCTTGTCCTATCATTATCTGCACATGTGAAAAGTTGTTTTCCCTCTTTTTTATAAGCCCCCTTCACGTACTGGAAGGCTGCAATGTGGTCTCTCCAGAGCCCTCTCTTCTCCAGGCTGAACACCCCAGCTCTCTCAGCCTGTCTTCAGAGCAGAGGTGTTCCAGTCCTCAGAACAACTTTGTGGCCTCCTCTGGACTCCTTCAACAGGGCCACATCCTTCTTGTGCTGAGGATCTCAGACCTGGATACAGTACTCCAGGGAAGGTTACAGAAGGGTAGAGTAGCTGTGATTGTTAACCTGACAATCACAGTTATGGGTTGACCTTTGAGGATCTAGGGAGAAGGCGGCTTTAACCATAAATCATCCCTGTTTTGTTTTTTCAAAAAATTGTATTAAAACTGCAGTTCTGACAACCAGATTCACACTTCTGTTTGTGCCGTGTACCTGGCCATCTAAACTCCAATTTTGATCTCCAGTGAGAGAATGCAATCCTATAAATGATTCTAACAAAGACCAAAGACTTTGTGGTTAGGTCTGCAGGTACCAGGACAGTGGTAGTTTTTGATGAGTAGGAATGGGTAGAAGGTTATTTAAGGGGGTGTAGAAGGGGACTTTTAGACATAGTTTGTAAACCTAACTTGCTCTAGAAGCTAATGATTTCAGGAAGCAAGATGTGTATTCTTGTCTGTGAAAGCTGATGTTGCCTGCCAAAGAACTCATGATTTAAGGTTTAAGATTTCCAAACCACAGAATTGTATAGTGTGCCAATGCTTGAAACATTGCATGCGTTTCTTTCTCAAACAACTCCATCATGAATGACAGACATGAATAAATACCTGTTTTCCAATACAAAATGGTCACGGTGTCCTGTAATGTACATCAGTTTCTACAGGAAAATGTAAAAACATTAAGTCAAATGAGCTGAGAAGTTGTGCCAAGCCACCTGCAGCAACAGAGAGGAAATTGGATTTTCCATCATTCTTAAAGTCCCAGCTATCTTCTCTTACTTTTAAAGCATCAGCTTTTAATAAACAAATGTGCAGTTCCCTATCAACAACTGAGCTAGTTTGTTCCTTTAATGGAACATGATGTGTTGTTTGTTTAATTCATTCAGGGTTCTGGAAATATTTATTTCTGGGAAAGTTAAACATAAAAAAAAAAAAAGCACACACTAAAGATATTTCTATGAGTTCCAAGTAATTTGCTTCCAAATGAACCCGGACAATGGTAGAAGTAATGCAGGAGCAAGACTAGGATAAGGTCAATGGAAAGAACTTGACAGCACACAATATGTAAGATTGCAAACATACAATGCAAACATGTCTATTAATAAAAATGAACAATTTTAAAGGAAAACTGCCAAAGTCATCTGGAAATACACAGACACACAGTGACTGCAATAACCAAACCACACAAATCTTCCCAAGCACAGAAATCTCAGTCTGGTGAAGTTCGAGAAATGTATTACACACTGCCACCTTCAGAGTACTCTTGGGAACACCAGAGGAACAGGAACAACTGAAAACTATTCTAGAGGGCAGTTCCCATTTAAAGGGTAAGTTACCTACAAGGAAACTTGAACAAAAGTGAGGCTTTCTCTCTCCCTCATCTGATTCTGAAAGTCTCTATATCCTGAGCTCCAGGAACTGTCCCAGATGATGCCAGGGCTGAACAGTGTCCAAATTTGAAGACCTAGAGCTTGTTTCCCTGAAGTGCTCAACCCAGGTCGCTGCCTGAGAGCATCAGCATGCACTTACAAACATTACTGACATTCCACATTGTTCAGAAGTGCTTGACAAAGCATTTGGTGGATATTCTTTGATGTTTTGTTTGTGATTTTGTTATTTTTTTGGAGGAGAGTTTAACTCATTATAGAGAAAGCAATGATTAGGCTTAGCATTCACCCAGGAATAAAAACCCAAGATTTCAAATCTGTGTCTGTTCCAGAAAGATGATTCCATCTTTACAGTTATCGTCAGGGGTTGTGAACTCCCTAAACATGGGCATACTCTTGTCCACAGCAAGGTTTAACCAGTCCAACATCTACAATTTCTTTCTTTGAGTAGAGGACATATGGATTTTCATACACTTTGAGAGGGTATATGTCTCTAACAGTGAAAGTCAGAGACATTTTTAACACTAGCAATAGCCAGGCAAAGTGTTTTAATTCTGTGGTTCTTATGCTCTGGACAAGGGAACATGTAGGCTGTAGTGAGTCCTGTATTTTCCATTTGTCTCAGCCCAATGACACTGCTGGTGAATTTTACCTTTTTTTTCCCCCCTCAGCCCTTTTATCATTATTCTTACATTCTTATTGATTCTCTTTGTATTTTCTTTTGATAGCTCTGAGATCACTGAGCATACTGACAAGACAGCTTCTACCTAAAGATACTTTTGGGATTTGTTAGAATTCCTGTGTTTATACCTATGTCAACCATTTTTGAATGATGCTCACCTCAGAGACCTGTTGTTGACTTGCAGGATTAGCCCATCATATAATACTACCATGAATATTTTCAAGCACTGAAAACCATAGAAATTCTTGCTTGAAAAAGCAGTCAGCACCATGTTTGGTCCTGGGAGCAGCAAGAACATAATTTCCATTCTCAACGCAAAAATTTAATATTAAAAATTTTTTATTAAAAACTTGCTCTTTGAAAAGTACTGTAATCACAATGCAAGAGCCAGACACTTTAAAATCAGAAATACAGTATCAACAGAAGAACATCTAGTTCAAGTCAAACAAGCTGCCTCCTCAAGGTAAAAAACACTCCTCAGTCCATGCAATTACTTATTTGATGTTCTCTTCTCACACACGTAGAGCAGTGGTGTGCCACAGTATGTAGGCATGGTTCCTCCTATATACTCCAAAAGATAAGCATTTTGACCAAAAGCTACAAGGAAACTTGGTATTCATCTCACTAATAGAGACATACAAGCACACAGTCAACGAGTCCTCTATTCTCCAGAGGGAGATTCTACTGGGTTGACCAACAGGTTTCCCTCCAGCTTCCTGGTGGGCTTCAATCTGCTGTCAGCTTCATCACAATCCATAGGTATCTGCACTTCTACTGTTGGAAGATCTCATATCTTCTTTGTACCCGATTTCATTCACTGATTTTTTTCTACTTCCGAATAGCTTTTTGTAGACATTTTGTTGCCCTTTTTTTTCTCAAACTCCTTCCAAAGAAACAATCCACTCGGAATTACTTTTTGTCCATTGGTCCCAGTTTGGCAACATCCATATGCAAATTATGTGGTTCCAATCTGGTTACCAGGCAATCCCAACCTGATAAAGTGTTACTGATATGATTAGTGAGTGCCCTACCAAGACTCTGCACCTCCAAATTATCCAAGTTATCCCATTTATAACAATTGAGTATCAGTTATCTTACATGCTCCTTGAAAATAGTCATTGCACTTCAGACTTCATTCTTCTGCCTTGCTTACAGACAGTCTGCACACTAGAGCAAGAGAATGTTTTTTTACACTGATGAGAGCAGACAGCATCCTTGTCCAGGAACTGGCTCAGACAGTGTAGTGGTTCCCTGTACACACTCTGGCCACCTATAAGATCTCTTGTCTTATAGTGCTGCTGAAGGATTTTTTGCTCACAGACTCCCTCTTATGGATTTAAGGAAAGAGATCAGTTCTCACTGTGCACAACTTACCATGGCCAGTCAGATTATATTTTTGATCTGCTATCATCAGTGGGAAACTTTAAAAATGTTTCATGGCTTTCAAATTCTGGTCTCCCTCATAACTTACAAGTGCCTATGGAAAACCTGTAATTGGCAGTAGAATGTTGTTTCACACTATAACCAAGTTTCCATTCCTTCAAGGATTTCAGTGTTTGGTGCCTCTCCCTTTATTTTTCCCCTCACTCCCAAATTCTATGTAAAAAAGATCACCTTAGCCTTCTCTTCCTTTCTCTTCCATGCCTTTTAAAACCTCTTCTATCTTTGCTAGAAGACCAGAAGACAGTCTTCCTACTGTGCTCCAGACTGGACATATGTCACCTTGTGTTTTCAACACTACACCGAGGGACTGTTTAATCCAGTTTTACACTGTAGCAAATACATGAGCAAATATGTGAGGCTTATCTGCAGTACATGAGCTTGGAAGTCAGTGCTAGTCTGGTTTTTTAACCACCATATGGTTTATTGAAGGATGGCAAGAGGCAGACTGTTTACCTTCACAGATGGTCTCATGCTGCAAAAAAGCACCTGCTGGTCTCAGCATACCCTCCCTGAAAAATCTTCTGAAAAGTAAGTTCAGTTTTCAGAACAAGCCACCATTTGTAACTCTTGCTGCTGGAGACATTTAAGAAAAATAGCAAGTACTGATATCAGTCAGAAGGTCTCTGATGTTGCTTTAGAGATTTCACTGCTCAAAACACTTTAAGATTTTTATCTTCCCTACTCTCCCTGTTTTTGATGGTGACTGTGAATCCATCTGATTCATCCCTATTATGTCATAGGCACAGAAATCATGACCCTGCAGACAGGGTGGTGCAGACTGAGCTCTAAAGTACTTTCTGACACAAGGTAAATGCACTCCCATTCCACAGGATTCCTACCTGCAGCTCTGGATGGCAAGGCTAGGACACTTCCTTGCCACACCTTGGCAGTTGCTGGGAATGTCTTGCTCCAGCTCAGGGATGCAACAAGCATGCAGAGTAGATGCTCCGCTTCCCTCTGAGCCACTTATCACCTACAAAACATTGGATCTCACAGCACCACCTGTGTGATTTCCTGACCTCTGTTCTTTCCACAACCCCATGAGATTCTGGACCTGCAAAAACCGCGGATGAGCATCAGTCACGTGAGCTGCCACTGCAACATTCTGCCAGGCTTCAAATGCCACAGTCTGGCGCTGTTGCCCCTGTGCTTGAGTAGGGGGCAACCCTAAACACCCCAGAGGGCTCCATCTATGGGAAGCACCCCAGGGTGAGGCTGGGGGTCCCCATGGGGCTGCAGAAGGTGATGTAGGTAAGGACGACACCACTGCGCAACTTGAGGGCCTCAAACCTGTGAGGGGTAGGAACTCCTACACCTGCTCTCTGCTGTCTCTGCAGGGACAGCAGGGACTGAGGGGTCAGTGGGAGATGCCCCTGGGAATGTGGTTGCACCTGCCACAGAGGGGGATGAGCACCCAGTTTCAGGGGTCAGAGCACCCAAAGCTGGGGCCTGAGTACCCCTTGTGCCCCCACAGTCCATGGGTTGGGGGCAACACCAAAACATCCACTGGACTTGGAGACACCACCAGAACCCCCACATTGCCCAGTCTGGGGGAATTCCCCCATGCTCTCCTGCACCTGCCCACTCCCTGTCCTCCCAAACCTTTGCCCTCCCTCACAGCTCTCAGCTAGCTTTGGGGTAATGGTTGCTGGGGAGGTGCTGTGGGGTGGGGCAGGTAGGGGCTGTAGGTGGCCCTAGACTACCACCATTGTCTCCCCACTCAGCCCAGGAAGTTGATGGTCCAGATGGGGATAGGGATGGGGAGGACATGGTGGTCCCAGGGGACACACCAAACACAGAGGTCATTGCTGCCCCCACACCCCAGATGACTATCCTGGTCCCTTATGCCTATACAGCACCCCTCACCCTCTACAGCCCCACCGTTAGTCCCATATAAATTTGCAGGGTCCCCAACTCCCCCAGAGCTGGCCTCCCCTGGGAGCATCCCCTTCCCTTCTCCCAGTCACCACCTTGTGGCCAGGCCATCCGTAGGTTTCAGAGTTAATGGAAGTGAAAAGGGTGGCTTCCTTAGGAATGGCCACACCTGTGCCTTATAGATATGAGGGGCCTCTACACCCATCCCTCCCCGGAAAGCCTTTGTCCCATAGATCACTGCAGCCTCTGTGCCCCTATAGCCACCACAACCCTGTCCCCCAGCCCCTACAGGCCGCGGCAGTCCCCATACCCTTTCCTAGAGCTGCTCTCCAGCCTGCCACTCCTCTGCAGCTGCCTGGAGACCATCTCGACCCTCGGCAGCTGCTGGCTCTCACTGCCCGTTCCCAGCCCTGTTCGACCCCCTGTAGCCCCCGTAGCCCCTTCCCAGCACCTACAGCTGCCAAAGGTGCTCTTCATCTCCCACAGCTGTCCTCTGGACAGGGGGGGCGGTGCCGGGGTACCGGACCCTACCTCAGCCCCATCGGCGGCCTCTCCCCATCCCGCCATCCCCACACCAGTACTCCCAGCCCCATCCCTGGGCTCCATCCCTACCCCGGCAGGCGCAGGGTGGGGTCGGCACCCCGATACACAGCCTCCCCCGCTCAGACCGCGCATGGAGAGGGGTGAGAGAGGCACTCCCGGCGGGGAGGGGCACCGTTCCTCAGCTTCCTCAGCCTCAGCCCTCCCCAGGGGATCCCGTTGCACAGGGACCCTCCCAAAAAAGGCGAGCGGGATGCGCGGGACCCAAAGTAGAAGCCCGCGGGGCCACGGCCGCGAGCGGAACAGGGCCGAAGGGCGCGGACAAGCCAGGTAGGAGGGGCCTGGCCCCGCCCGGCGCGGCCAATCGGCGCTCTCGGCCCGCCCCGCCACCGCCGGGCTGCCAATGGCCGCGAACGTACGCGGCGCTACTGGTGGCGGGCGGGCGGGCGTGAGAGGCGGGTCCCGACCGGAGGGGCCCTGTGGCCTGCGGAGGGCTCTGGATCCGGCTGCTGTCCCGGTGCCAGCCCAGCTCCTGCTCTCGGTTGTGGCCGCGAGGCAGGGCGGCTGTCCCCAGACGGGGAGCTCCCGCGGGTCTTCCAATAAGCCTCTTGTCCGCGCTCACCATTTCCGCAGAGCAGGGTCAGGACACCCGGAGCCTGCCAGCGCTACAGTGCCTCCCTTGTTTAATGGCGGCTTGGCGCATGCGCCGTCCGCCGGCAGAACCTGGCCCGCCATGCCGAATGAAGGCACTTCCGGGTTACCGCCGCGCGGCACACGTGATGCGAAGGCCACGTGGTCCTCCCATCATGTGACCTGCGGCGTTCGCGGGCAGGAGGTGGGAGATTCCCGTGGGATTGGAGGGGGAGGACTGTGGGGGGAGGTGTCCTGGATGTGGAGATTTAGGATCACTAAGTGGACCGTGGGAGTCTACAGGGGTCTGAGCACGCGGGGAGGAGTGGGGGAGGGACTCCACAGGCCAAGGCCGGAGCGCCCCCCCCCTTCGGTGATGTCCCCCTGATCCCCCCCCCGTGCCCCTCAGGCCATGGCCGCCCCCCGCCCCCTCACGGTGGTGCCGGGCGAAGCCTCCGAGAGCGACTCGGAGCAGGAGCTGTTGGTAGGGGCGGCGGGGGGAGCCCCCGGGGCCGGGCTGAAGGTGCCGGGCGAAGCCTCCGAGACCGAAGAGGAGGAGGAGGAGGAGGAGAAGGAGCATAGACCGAAGACATCCCCAGTGCTGGCGGAGGAGCCGGCGACGGTTTGGGGGGGCGGCCGGGGGAGCCCCTCGCTGCTGCAGCAGCGGCTGCGGGAGGGGACGGGGCGGCTGCAGGGGGCGGTGGGCAGCGCCCTGCGGCAGAGCTACGGCAGCGCCGCCCGGAGCCTGGGGGGGGCTGGAGGGGGCCCTAGGCCGGGCGCAGGTGACCGCCGCCGCCGCCGCTCACTGCCTGCGCCTGGCCCGCCGCGACCTGCGCGCTGTGGCCGACACCATCGACATCGTCACGGCCTGTCGCCTCCTGCCCGACATCCGCGTGCAGCTCTGACTGGGACGAGGCACCACGTTCACCATCCCCCACTGTGGCTGTCACCCGCGGCAGCAACAACGCCTGCCAGACATCCACGAGCAGTTGCCGGCACCACTCCTGTCCTCATGGCATCACCAGTGCCTCATCTGCCGTGGTTGGCTCATGCCCGTCAGCATCATCACTGCAGTGTCCTGACGAATGTGTGGTTGTGGTGGCATCGAGTCGTGGCTGCAGCACCTCATACTGACTTTGAAGATCTCCTCACCACGGTGGCATCCCCAGTGTGGTCACAGTGACACCAAACAATGGCTTTGGCACAGAGACCACCACCCTGCCACCCCAGAACCTCTACACTCTGGTGACATGATCACTGCTAACCCCCTGGCCAGCTGCCACCATTCCTGAACTGCAGCCTCACGCTGGCTCCAGTCACTGCTGACTGCACCGTTTTGTGTGACACAGAACTGAATAAAGCCATGGTGGTGTCAGAGCCACAATGGGGAGCTCGGCCAGTGCCATGGGGACAGTAGCGTTACAGGAGGGGGGACAGGGACACACAGGGGACCAGGTGCAGGGGCAGGGTAGGGCAACATGGGTCCTGCTATCATATTGCAGTGGCGTTTTGAGTTCACTGACAGCCCAGAGGACAGGATTAGTGACCTGGGGCATGTATCCCCCCATGTCCCCTATCACCCTCTGGTAACGTCCTGGTGCCCACCCCCCCGACACACATATTGCGTCCTTCCTGCCATGTCCCCAGCAGCGGATATTGAGGGGACAGTGAGTGAGGACAAGAGGACCGCAAGAGGGGGGACAGAAGCCCCACCCTACCCCAAGAAGAACATGCCCTAGGGCTAGACAAGGGTTTATTTGGGAGAACACTCGCCCCACACCACCGTCACCCCCTGACACAAGGAGGGGGGAGGGTTCCCAGAGGGGCTGGGAGTCCCTGGGGGGGAGTCACATGCAGGTGTCCAGGCTGTCCATGTACTCTTGCAGCGCCCACAGCCGGGCATCAATCTCAGCCAGCTCAGCCGAGGGCTCCTCAGAGTGGTTCTCTGGGGAGGTCAGTGCAGGGAAAATGGGTTAACGAAGACCTGAATTAGGTTGGGGGGCACCCTGAATATCCAGGGACTTGGATGGGGCCTCACCTTTACCAGGGCGCTTGCCAGCAGCACTGCGTATGGGCACCTTGTGACAGGCAGCCAGGCGAGGTGCCTGTGGGAGAGACTGGCGGTCACTGGTGTGTGTCCCCCCACTCCTTGTGCTCACCCCACTTTAGCATGTAGATGGGGGGGCCCCAAATGGGTGGGGGGACCCCAAAGGGGCTGCCACTCACCACACAGGGGCCATTGCAGGACGAGGTGCTCAGGGGTCTCTGGGTATGGGTCACCCTCCTGTCCCTGCCCAAAACAGGAGGATTTAAGAGGTGCCAGGAAGGATGCCCAAGCATCCTGCCCCACACCAGCGTTACCTGCGGGGCATGGCCTTGGGGCACTCACTGCCTTTGCTGCCAGAGCTCACTGCCGAGCACCAGCTCTGGAAGCTTGTGGCTGCAGGGAGAAATGGGTGTAAAGGAGGAAGCTGAGGAAGGAGCTCCAGCACCCAGTGGGTGCCCCTTGGCCCTCTTCATGCTCCCCACTCACCCGACGAGCTGCGCCCATGGCTCCTCACCGGACTGGAGCTGCCAAAAGCTGCCCTGTGCCGCTGGCTGCACCCAAGGGAGATGGTGAGTGGGAGCAGGGGATCCCCCAAGTGCTGGGGAGGAATGGGACAGCGGGATGGTGACAAGTTCACTGTCACCGCTTACTTTCTGAGCTCAGCCTCCTTCTGCCGTCGCTGTCGGGCCCTGACGAAGGCAGTGGGGTCGAAGCGTGGGAGGTGGGAGCCTGGTGAAGGAGTGAGAAGGAGAGAGTCAGGATGAGGAGCAGGTGAGCCATGTCCTGTCTCCACCCCATGTGTGTCCCCCCAAGCGACCCACACCTGCAGGTGATGGGGATCGCAGAGAGGGGCGGCCCCGGCTGCTCCTGTGGCTCTCCAGGGATGCCGAGCGTCGCTCCTGGGGGCAGGGGGCTGTGCTGGCAGATGTCCGGCGGCTGCCAAGAGGACCAGTGCCATGAGGGGGGGGACATCCCATGGTCATGAGGGTCCCCCTGTACAGCCCACCCCAACCTCACCCCCTCCTGCAGGAGGCCAGTTCGGCTGTCAGGCTCTTCACCCGCAGTTGCAGCCTCTGCTCTGATGCCTTTGCCTCGGCCAGCTGCAAGGTGGGGGAAAAAAGTTCACTGTGCATCCGGCAGCCCCCCTTCCCACTGCCAGCAGTCCCCAAACTGCAGGCCCCCCCCATCCCCTCCCAGCCCACCTGGGCAGCCAGCTGACGGTGCTCACGCTGATGCCGGGCCTCTGCCACCCGCTTCTCCTCCAGTGCCCGTCGCAGCCTGAGGGGGATGGCAGGGTGTGGTCTGGGGGCTCCTTCCTCACCTTGAACCCCCCCAAACCCTTCTGAGCGCTGCAGGCCCCACTCACGCGTCCCGCAGGTGCTGGATCTCCTCCAGGCGTCGGGCCCGGAGCCGTGCCAGCTCCTCCCGCAACTCCTGCACCAGTGTGGCAAGGTCCGGCCGCCCGACGTAAGGCAGCGGCAGCGGGTAGTGGATCCTGGGGAAGAGCACATGGAGGGGGTGAGTCTGGTGTCACTCCTCCGTGACCCCTGCCCAGTCTTCCCTGTCACCTATCAAACTCCACAGAATAGACGAGGATAAGGTAGCGCTTGGTGCTGAGGGGGGAAGAGGAGGAAGGGGGAGGCCGGGTGATTGCCCCCACTTTCCGGCTACGCAGGGTCTCCAGGTCGGCGTAGGTGAGGAGCTCCAGGCTGACGGACTCGCTGCTCTGCAGGGGGTTTGAAAAGTGGGGGAGGCTCAGTGGGACACACACCCCACATCTGCCCCCAAAATGCCATGTAGGGGAGCGGCGCAGCCACACCTGCATCAGTGCTGACTCCAGCATGCTGCAGAAAATGCCAAACTGCTTGAAATTCCCCGTTTTGCGGGTCAGGTCCTCGATGACTGCGAGGAGGGGGGTACTTCAGTGAGTGGCAGTCGTGGGGAGTTCCCTCGGTCCTCCCCCAGCTCCCCCCCCGGCACTCACAAGCGGCATCGAACTCGCCCCTCCACAGGTCGGCGGTGCCGTGAGCCTCCACCTCCACCTGCAGCGCAGTGCGAGCCAGAGTCACCCGCACCGTGTGTGTCCCGGGCCGAAAAGTACAGTCGGCCTGCAGGTACCGCGGCTCCGCCATGGCGCGGGGGGGGTCTGTGGGGAGAAGGCACCCTGGGGAGACAGGGGCACCCCAGGAGTAGGGGGGGCACCCCTAGAAGACGGGGAGGGCACCCTCGGGAAAGGGGACCCAGGTTGGAGGGCTTGGGGCAGGTGAGTTGGGGTGGATTCTGGGGTGGTGGCTTCAGGGAGGGAGCGGGAGTGGAACTGATGGCGGGGGCACAGACAGGGGAAGGCAGCGGCGAGGCCACAGCATCAAGGAAGGTGACCAGGGAGAACCTCAGGGCATTTGGAGATTAGGGCTCTGCCGGGGGGGGGGGGGGGGGGCGTGGAAGGCAGTTTGACGCGCTGGAGAGAGTACAGAGGGATACGGGGAGAGCCCAGGGTATGGGGCTGCTGCCTGGGAAGCAGGGGGAAGCCAGGGCTTCGGGGGCCTGTACCGAGGAAGGGGAACTGGTGGTCAGTTCTGGGCGCAGCGGGGCGGGGGGTGGCCCGGGCGTATGCTCAGGCGGCAGATAGCGGGAGCAGCCCCGCCAGGATTGGTGCTGGGACCGCAGGAGAGTCCGGGCCCCGGGAACGACCTGCGGAACCACGGCTCGCCGGCTCAGCGCTCACCGCGATCCGCCGCGCGTCGGCCGCAGCCCCACCCCCCTCCGCCGCGCCATTGGCTGCTCGCGCCGCCTGTCACCTCACTGCCGCTGGGCTGCCCGCCGGCCTCTCGCTGCCATTGGCTGTCAGGCGGAGCCCGCCTCCCGCCTCCACGGCGCCTTTGGTTACTACGGCTGTCAGTCTCGAGAAGAGGAGGAGCGACGCCTGCGTGTGGAGCCCTTCGACCGTAGCGCTGGGCAGGCCCCGCCCCCTCCCATCGATCACGGCCTGGCCCCGCCCCCTCCCACTGGTCGTCGCCGATTCCACTCTATTCCCGCCCTCCGGGAGCGCGGAACGGGGGATACGGAAGGGGGGGTGGGGCATGGGTCTGGGCCGGAAGGACTGGGTTAGGTATGGGGGGACGACACGTCCGGTGACGGTGGAAGTGGGCGAGACAAGTTAGGGAGCAGCTGAATCTCGAGCCAGTTTTTATTAACCGGACTGGGGGCATGGCAGGGAGGCCTCGGGAGGCGCCAGGCACCCCAGTATTTGGGAGTATTCCCCCAAATTGCAAAATATCCCCCTGAAATGGTTGGAAGGGGCAGCCCCAAGACTTCAGATCCCCCCCCGAACATTCCAGGGGATTGGCCCCCAGAAGAAATGGGGGAGGGAAGCACAGCACACCCTCAAACTGCCTTTGGGAATCCCAGCAGCCCTTCTCAGGCAGGACTCTGTAGGTCTGTCCATGCACTCGGTGACACTGTGGCATTTATGAGCACTTGTGATGGCACTCTGGGGACCCTTGGTGGCAACATTAGCCCTGGGAGAGGAGATGCCAAGTTCTCTCCTTCCTCTTCCCCCACTGAAAAAGCCATGCTGGAGTCAGGGCAGAAGTAGTTTGAGGACATCCAGGGGTCTCCAGCAACTGGAATCATCCCGTAGTACAGCACCACATACTAGAGGTGCCACCACCCTTGCACAAGCCCTGTTTGGCCCTCAGTGCGGCCTTTTGGGGTGGTTTCCTGCTTTCTGAGGAAGGCAAGAGGAACTGCAGGCCCTGCTCCAGGGCCATGGGGACTCCCCACTTCTCTGGGCAGATGAGGATGCATGCAGGAGGAGCTTTTGTTGGATGGAGCCAGCCAACTGCAGCCCTTAAAACCTGCTGCTCCCTATCTCAAATGTCCCAGCTGGAAGGTAGGAATGCATCAACTTGCCCAAAAAGTTTTCAAAGCATAGCCACCAGCAGCTGGACTGTTGGGCCTGACCCG